ACCTTCACAACAGCTGTGTACACTGTAAAAGGAGGAGACATCAGCATTCTCCCTATGCTGATCTCTCCTCCTCTCTCTCTAAAGGCGGAAGCAATCTATATTACATGACTTCTGCCTTTAGCTGCCATTTCTGTGACTGCTATAGCCAGAAAAGAAGCTGTTGAAGCAAATCTCTGCTTCATCACCTTCTTTAGGGATCCCAAGGTGACCCCTGATGTCTCCATAAAAAGGACATGTCATTGTATATTGGCTATCACATAGGGGGCTTGTTAGCTCCCTATGTGATAGCTAATAAAGTGAAGTGTAAAGATGAGATTTTGGGGGCACACGCAATTTTAAAGCTCGTTTATCAGACATGATCCGTCTTTTATGTGTTACCAAAAAATTGGGTACTGATAAATGTTTTTATTATAACATAGGCAAAACAGTTTTTTTTCAAAGTTTTCAGGACTTTTTTTTATTATATAGTAAGTGGCGATTAAATACCACCAAAAGAAAGCTCTATTTGTCCCCAAACAATGCTATACAATTATTTTCAGTACAGCGTTGCATGACGGAATAAATGTCAGTGAAAATAATGCAGCACTGAATACTGAAAAATGGCCTGGACAGGAAGGGGGTTTACAACCCCGGTCAGCAAGTGGTTAATATAAAGGACTAGCAGCAAGGTTACTTACCAAAGAACGGCTGTAGAGTTTAATTCTGATCATCTTTGAGTCCTTTTCCAGTTGAAGTCCCAGAGTTCCACAAGATGGAGAATAAACGGATGAGGAAATGCCATTCTCATCATGCTGGCATTTTATTTGTACATTTGTGAATGTCGGGCTCGTAATGTCAACTTGAAGATTGTGGCCTTGCATCCTAAATAAAATAAATAAATAATTAATCAAATAAATATAATTACAGAAAACTCTGCACTATTGAATATATGATAAAAAGAACATAGACTCTATAAATGTGATAGTTCAAGTGGTATATAAGTTTTACAGGGTCATTTATGTTGAGTGAAGATATAAATTCCTTCTAGATTTCGAAAAGCTGCCCCAGAGCAATTTCAGACATGTCCAAATTAGAGGAGCTCTCTGAAAGACCCAGAACTTGCCGGTGGATAATATATTTCAGTTTAAGTTTAAACTGTCCAGCAAGAGATATCGATATCAGCTAGACTGGTCAACCCAATGTCCCATTTTTCTAATCAGCTCTGGGATAAGACAATGTATACCAATCTATGAAAAAATGAAGAGGTTTTGGTTACCTTAATCCAATGAAAGAGGCTTGTTCCTTCCAAACAGCACTCAGGTCCACATGTGCAAGATTTCCCTCTCCAACAATATTTCGAGATCTGCCATCTAAAGAACTAGCCAATGAAGCTGTAAGCAAAGAAGAGGAGGCAATTAATAACTGAATGTAATTATTTAGTTCACAGTTCATTGTTACAATACCAACTGTCCCATGGTCTGTTAATTGACCTTCATTAGCATTATGTAACAGCATTGTGTCATTTTCCTTTATCTGTTTTATGGAAAATACATGAGTGCATTTTACTCTGCGTACTAATGTTCTTTTACTTCATATAATTATTTGATAATGGTATTCTGAGGAAGAAAGAAACTCACCATCTAGGTCGAACTCCAGGAATCGTAGAGTTGAACTGCTGGTGGCATCGATGGAACCAACAAGACTTTCTGGGTTGTTTGCCAATTTGTTTGTCCATGTAAGATTGTATACTGGGGTTGTAAGCTGAACAGATCCGGACAGGGCCCCAAATGCTGGGATGTAAATTCCGGCAGGCATTACCAGACGTACTGGTGGGATCACAACTCTCTGCTCTGGGATTTCAATAGTTGGTAGGTCAATGTCTGCTATCTTATTTAACAATTTGTTGAAATCTAAGTTGTAGAAAGTTTTGGGAAGAGTATATTTAGGCAGAGTAACCTCATATTGTGGTACAGAAAGCTCAACAAGGGATACTCTAGAATCTTCTCCTGCAGTGTATCGCACATTGATAGGGACTGCAGGGAACTGGACTTCTGGAAGTGATGACGGCAGATGGGCATCTTTTGGTAGATTAAATCCTGGGAAGGTCATTGTATAGTCATCACCTAGCCTCTCAGATGAAAAAGGATAGAAAGATCCATCACGGCTTTTTGTGTAAATTAGTGATGTAGAAGCATTCAAGTACTGTTTCTTGTCAGGGCTTGTTGTAATATCAAGTCTTAAGACATCCCACAAACTTCTATCATACACTGGAAGAATGACTGATTTTAGGAAATCCACATGACCCTGCAGGGATCCACCAACCTCCACTCTTGCATCTGTCTGGTCATTTGATAGTTTCAGGTCATGAGCAGCGATAAGGGACTCTAGAATGCCATGTCCTTTCACGCTAAATTCTTGTTTCTCGTTATTAAGTGTTAGTGAAATGCCTTGGTTTAATGATGCAGCTTCAATAAATGAGTTGGGTTGGTCAATCTGGACTTGAAGGTCTGCCAGCAAACTCCAAAGAGCCAACTCTAGTGTTGCTTTGCTGCTTTGCTGTCCCTTTGATGTAAAAAGTGGGGTGAACCTGAAATAGTTTTCTCCTTTATGTTCCCAAAGAGCAAATACACGGCGGGTAGAGGCTTCAACAGCCAGACTTTCTGTTAAGTCCATGTTTCCAATACTGTCGGCTCTAGCTCTAGACACAAGTCTTACAGATGATCTGAGACCATTGGCATTTAGGTAGGTGTTTGCATCACTGGTGAACATTCCATTAAACATCTGTTCAGACAAAAGAGTTCCACTTATATCTCCACTTGTCTGTGTTTCCAACGAAAAGTAAGATGTAAGACCTTCAAGATTTAGAGAGTGATCAAGCTTTCCTTTAGCTGTGTTTCCAAATAATGCATCATTAAGGTCATATGTGATTAGGATTTTAGATGCAACAGTTGGCTTTGTCTTTGTGTTGCCGTTAAGTTCCTGTTTGAAGGTGCTCTTTATCAGACTTGTATCCATTTTTGCATTTGTGATGACTGATGCTTCCACATTTCTCTTTCCAAATGATATGGAACTTTCATGTTTTCCCTCAGCAAAAACAGATTTCAGAGCTAGTGCAGTTGCCAGTTTTAGACCTCTCTTCCTTGTAAGTCCAGTAGTAGCATCTATATTGAATTGCAGACTGTCAATAACAGAGGTAGAGGCAATGCTTACCCGGGCAGAGATGTCGGACTGATTATATATTCCAGCACTTGTGGTGAGTGAAATCACATTGGATTTGAAGAAGAAATCATAAGTAAGGTTACCCATAGCTGGAATTAAAATACTGTTCTGTCCAGTTGGTAACTTTATGTTAGGAAGGGACAGTCTACGAATAGAATTTGGAACATGAAGAACGGGCAGTTCGAGTGAGGGTAGGACTAATTTGTATGTTGGCATAGAGAATCCAATCCCTGGAACAATAAAGCTTGGGGTGCTTATTTCTTTAGGAACTACATATCCAAAAGCTGGAAGCTCAGCAGAGAAAGAGGATACTTCAATGTTGACTAGTGGGATGGTGTAGCCTGGAATCCTAAAGGTTCTTGGAATTTTGCTCACCAGATTGTCTACTCTATACTTGTCAAATTTTGCCTTAGCTTGGCTGTAGGAATCCATCAAGAAACTCAAAGTATTGTCACGCCCACTTTCAAATGTTTTGCCCAGGGTCTTCATGTTTGTGTTTATGGAATCAAATAGTGTGTCTAGGGGCACATGAATTGCATGCATTTCCTTGTTCTTTTGGTATTGAAGCTTTATATTCAGATCAATGTTCTGCCTGGTTGATGTCAACAAATTCTTCAGTCCAGTTCTTTCCCACAAAGAGAATTCCTGTACTGGTGGAGTTTTAAGTGAGGTGTATGGGATGGAAATTTCTGGAATGGAGACTGGAATGGTCAAAAAGTCAAGAACAGCTTCCCCATTCATTTCCAAAGTAGCTTGAATACTTTCTTCATTATTTCCTACTAAAATAGTGTGAGCAATCTTGTACTGGTTGAACCTTCCATTGGCCTGCCATGACACTTGCTGAACAGATGGGTTCAATGTAAAGTCATAGTTGTTCATGAAGTCAATCTTGCCAGTGAGCTTTAGGGGGAAACTGACTTTAAGATTCCCGTTGTTAGCAGTAGACAGTTTTGTTTCAAATGCTTTTACTAAAAAGGCAAAGTTGTTATTTATTGTACCAGTTGCTCGGCCTGATAGCTCTGAGTTATGATTTGCCTCTAGTTCTATTTTCATCTCATTAACCTGTGCCCTTCCTTTAACAGTCACAATGCTGTTTCCAATGGTAGGCGCATCTGCCTTTGACATGATTTCAAGTGCCACATAATTTAAGAGCACTGAGTCATACTTGAGGTTTTGATCTAATTTTAGATATTTGTCATTAACCTTGTTGGTTCCCAAAATCTCAATGTTGCCACCTTTCAGATTGAACTTGAAGTCTGCTTGATGGGTACCTTCATCTGAGAAATAAGGGCAAGCCCATTTCCAATTTCCTTTACCAGAAGATATAAGGTTGATGCGTCCAATGTCCACAGTTGTGTCAATATCGTTTTGAAGAGCAAGCTGGCTTGTGAAGTCCAGTTGTGGAATATTGAGACTATGAGAATATTTGGTTGTAACATCTGCTGTGATTCTGCTTTGTATTTTCATGATAATTGAACTCTGCAACTCAGCTGAATTCTTCTCAGTTCTTACATTAGCATTGGTTTGGATCTGTGTCTGAATGTGACTTGACATGAATATGATCTCACTAAAGTGATCCAATTTGACATTGCGGTGAGAAAACAGCACAGTTTCTTTGAAGATCAACTGTTCCAGCAAGGGAGCAGAAATTCGAGCATCAGCACCAAATGTAAATGCCAAAGCTTCAATCATAGATTTGGCTTCTGCTGTGAGTGATGCAATGAGTTCAGGTGACTTCTCAGATACAGTAGCATTCTTGACCTCAGCTAAAGTGTCCATGTTGAAAAACGGTGTGTTCACTTTGAATGAGCCAGCAAGCTTGCCAAAAGTTGGAAGAGATACAGTGTGTGGAATCTTTGGAAGCTGGAATTCGGGGATCTGTATTTCAGGGAATTTGAAGTTTTGCATATTTAGTTTGGGGATATTGTACTCAGGAAATTGCATATTAGGAATATAGATTTCTGGAATGGAAAATTCAGGAAACCCCATGTCACTCATCTTTAGATCTCTTAAAAAAACATCTGGAGATGGCCACTTATAGTCACTTGAAATGATCTGATCAATTAATCGTACAATCTTCAGTTTAATCTCATTCAGATCAATAACAAACGATGGTACTTTGTAGGTGTTTAATACAGTGAACTCTGGAGTCACATATCTTGTTGAAATTTCCAAATCTTTTAGCTTTCTAAAATTGATCTCCACTGATTGGATTTCCAGATCGGTAAATGGCACAGTAAGGAATGGCGTTCTAAATGTTGCTTCTCTAAGGGCCCGGAGGCTAACTTCAAATGCAGGAATACGGATAAATCCTATGTTCATTTCTGGTGCAGTAAATCCTACCTCAACAAAACTGTTCACTTTGTCAGACCATTCTTTAATATTGTTCTCATCTGCAAATCTGGCAATCTTGACAGATGCAAGGTTCCACTGCTCTGTTACATACATCAAGAGGCGCCTGTAGGCCTGGCTCAGCTGTTGTAGATATTTCTTACATTCTTCTTGAATGTTCATTGAATAGATTCTGTCTCTGGCATCTTCAAGATGTTCAATTGTTCTGGTCTTCCACTCATTTAGTACCGTGGAGGTCATGATATCTTCATACCACTGCATGATAGCAGCAAGTCTGGTGTCTCTTACTTCCTGAAGATATTCAGTTACCACTGCTCTTACATTATTCAAATACTGTCTTAAGGCTTCAGCCTTCTGAGGCAGTTCCAGGGCTTTCATTTTATCATTCAGCTTTTCTGTTTTCTCTTTGATCCACATGTTGACATCATCCACAAACTTGTCATAATCGAAAGACCGCATGTTCTTAATTACAATATCAAGGTAGTAATTGATGTCCTCAATGAGCTTCTTAAAGTCATAGTCTCTCACTTGCTTGACTGTGGAATCAACAAAAGTGAGAGCCTTTTTGTAATATAGCCTGATATCAATGTTATTGAGCATATCTCTTAGCTTTTTCACTGTCTCTTTGACTTTCTGCTGGTTGAGGAACTCAACAAACGTTTCTAGAAGGACTTCAACTTTTTTGACAAGTTCATAATCGGCCACAAAGTCTTGGAATTTGTCAACAACAGCATTTATTTTCTCACTGATTTCAAATTCCTCCAACTGTGTGGTTATAAGATTTGTGATGTGTTCTATAATGACTCTGAGCTTCTCAAGTGGCAATGAGTTTCTTATTTGATCTACATATGGGGATATGTCAATGCTTCGCAGTGCTTCTTTTACATTTTGTGCCATTTGGTCAAAATCAACTCTCTGAACATACACTTGGATTTGTTGTAAGAGTCTTTGCAACCTAGGTCTAATTTGATATAGGTCATCTACATTCTGAATCCATGCAGCCACACTTTGTCCTAAATCATTGATGTTGAATGCTTCCAGCTGCACACGTATGTTCTGAACCATTTCAAAGATCTTCTCCCGGATTCTGTATTCAGAATCTAAAGCCTTCAGTTTGTCAACACATCTCTGTATACACATCTCAAGAGATCTCTTAAGCTGCTCAAAGTCATAATTCTCTCTGATGTATCTGTCAATTTCATTCATATAGAACTGTAGGCGGTACTGAAGTGCTGCAAAGTACTCCTCAACTGCAACTTGTAGTTCTGCTGCAGTGACTTTATATTCTTGGGTCAATGTGAATATTTTATCCTTTGCTAATCTAACTTTTTCTTCTACATTTAAGTTTTCCACATAGTCTATTACATTCTGCATAGCGGGGTCCAATGCCCTTCTGTATCTCTGTACATATTGGTCAATATTCACTTCCTTCAATGAATTTTGCAGAGCTTCTAGAGCATTAATCAATACAGTTCTTATCCTCTCAAAATACAAGGACATGTTCTCGATAAAAGGCAAACTGATGACATGCATGTCCTTATTCTTGTCATACTTTATGTACCCAGAAATGCTGAACTCTTGAGGACTGTTTACAGTGTCTCTTAAGTTTAATGCATCAATTGGATTGAACCTGGCAAATGGTAGACGGATCTCTCTGTCCAGGATGGAGAGGTCTGCTAAGGCCTGACTGTTAATCTCAACTCCAATGCCATCAGCATTGTTGTATGCATTCAAGTCTTGATTGTATGTGTTTTGGTCCAGGCTGCTCTTCAGTTTCAGAGAACTTAACTGCTCTGCTGGGGTGAACAACACATTGATCTTGTAGTCTAGAAGAGTCTGGTGTGTGTTGCCTGTACCTACTGAGTTGCTGGTGGATCCTCTGTAATCATGGACTAAGTTAAAAGAAAGAGGCTCAGCTTTTAGGATGAATTTACTGTAAAGCTGTCCTGATTGTTCTCCAAAGATCATCAGTCTCCCATCTCCATTAGTCTGAGAGTCGATGGTAATGGTAAAAGGCTCTACAACAGAACGGATCCTGTTACTGAAGCGCATAGATTTTGCTTCACAGTTTGTGCTGCTGCTAAGTGAGGCTGAAAGCCCAGCAATATCAAGAGTAAATCTGTGCGTGTGAGCTGTTCCTTGTATATTTGCAACAGTATCTGTGTTCAGGTTTGCTGCCAGGTTACCGACTGAGAATCCATAGGAATGCTTTATTTCATCTTTATTAAATGCTCCTCTGACATTGCCATTGATATTCAACTTGAATACTTCAAGCTGAAGCTGGCCTCTGTTGTTCAATTCTAAGGCACCATATTGAAGTTCGTTATTGATCATAGATGTCATAGTGTAGGGCTGCATCTGGATGTCAAATCTGTGCTTGTGGAACTTGTCAGCGCTTAAGGAATTTTCAAACTTAGAGGTAAACTGTAATGTGGACCCAACAATGCTTAGATCATTACTGTTTTCCAGTTTCACCTGATCATATGAACCCATTAGGTTGTTTGAGAATTTAAGTCCTTCTCGGCTAATCCTGAAGTTAAGCAGATTCTGGCTGTCTAAACCAAGAATTGTAGCTTGATAGACACTACCCAAAGATAGTTCCATCATAGCAACTTTTCCATCAACAGAAATCTTGGCGCTATGTTCTCTGTATCGTCCATTTGCCATCATTTTCATCACTGCTCCCGAAGATCCAATACCAGCATTGAACTCATTCTCCAACATTAAGGGGTTAAAATTGACACTGGTTGTTGCACTGGTAGACAGACCATCTTGGCAAATCTTCAAAGTAGCTTTGTGAGCAGCTCTGCTTTGTTGATTATTTAGGGTCATGTCAGCATTTAGTTCTAGACCAAGAGAATTGAGAGAGCCAGTTAGAAGAGTGTAGAACCTCTTACGCTTGTAGTTTGCTTGATATTCAGAGCGCACAGCAGCTATCTGTTTTGAAATAGTGAGCTCAAGCTTGTTCAGCCCAACCAGATTGTAGTAATTTCCATTGGTATCAGACTTCAGAGTTAGCTGTTTGTTCCTGTAATCTAAGGACATGATGTTAACAAGAGCTCCATCAAGCAGTTCAGTGGTTGAAGTCATTGTCACTGCTTCTTTAAAGAACATTCCAGATATCTTGTTGGTGACTTTCAATAAAGAGGACTCAAATTGGAAGTTGGAATCAGCTTTAGCCTGGAAATTGTCAGTGTTGAGTGTGGTGACAAGCTTTAAGTCACTGTTGGCAAACAATGATGCTACAGCAAAACGCTCATTTGCGTCCATCTCTGTGGTCAGTATGTTATTTGCTACTGATGACTTGGCTGAAAGAGCTCCAGAAGAATCTAATCCCAGGACACTTCTGGCCTGATATGTATACGATCCTTTATAGATCTGGTTACTCTTGAAGTTGTACTGCTCGCTGAATCTCATGCTTGATTCAAGCAGGGTATGACTTAAAGATCCCTCATAGGACAGGCTTAATGTTTTCATTGGATCATATGTTGCCACTCCAGAGCCTGAAAAAAAAGCAGATAAAATAAATGTATGCATATATTTTTCCTTCCAAATAACAAAATAATTTTGTGCACATTTATACTACTGGTACTTTAGAGCCTTATTCAGCATTTAGCGTGTAATTGTATTTGATAAAAGTTCAGCTCTGAGTAAGAAGTGAAATCGGTTAGTGAACAGATAACGCCATTGAAACACTGCAAGTCAGGAAGTACACATCTGTATCCTATGCCAAATGGCAGAGAGTCCCTTTTATGTGATGTTGGTGAAACTGCTTCCTATATCTGTGCTGTGTAACTTCATGTCCTTCTACTTGATGGATCACCAACTAATGGTAGCTATAGTTGTTCAGGCATATAGGAAAACCTTAATATGAGGTTTCCAAATGAAAATAATTATTTGGCTATTTATGACCCTCCCTACACCGGTACTATGAGAGGAGACCTAGCTCGACGATTTATTTTAGAAATACCAGAACCTGTGGTTTTTGATTTCATTTGCACTTCCACTTGCTAGTGAAATTTGCTATCATGGAGCTGCCATAACTATAACTCAGTGGTATACAATGAAATCTATCATCATTGAATAGACAGTCTTCCGTCTACCATGCATTGGTATAGGACAGCAGGAGAAGTGTGTCACTTACATAAATGATAATATACAAATGATACATAACTATTTGACCTTAAAAGAGAACTATGGGGTAAGTGTTTTCCCCATAGTTCTCTTTAGTGTCACGGGAGGACATATACTAACCTCCTCCCGTGACCCAAAGCTCAGTATATAGCGGGCTATTTCCCGCTATATACTGAGAGCAATAGCTATTGCCCCCTATATACTGAGGGCGGCGCAGCCGGGACGGATCCCAACAATACTGTTGTGATCCACCCAGCTGTGTGAGTGACAGCTGGCTCTGCCTTGCTAGAGGGAGAGGCAGCTGTGCCCATCCCCTCCCCTGTTCATTCCTTCACTCAGCGATGGGGGATCGGAGTGGGGAGGGGGGAATCTCTGTGGGGATCGTGACAGTCACCACTCACTGCAGGGAGATGATCGGGAAGTGAGCGGATCGGCAGCATGTTTCTGCTCACTTCCCGATCAATAGAGCCGACCTGTGACAGCTTCTTTGTCACAGGTTGGCTGTAACTATGAGGATGAGTGGAAATCACTCACCTCATAGTTCTCCTTTAAGTATCTATGTTCATGTTCCCACATGTATTCTTTGCTGAGTGCAAGATATACAAGACTCTCTTGAGCCTGACACTGGGCAGCGCCCAAACCCTGTTATGACAGTCTCCAAACTGTGGCGGCCCTCGGGTATATACACTATCAAACTATCCACACTGCTGGTTGCAAGAAATCCTACTTCTCTTTTGCATAGCAGTCCTGAACAATCCCGAAGGGCCTAATCAGGAAAGTGCTGGAGTTCTCAAGTTAGAGTTATGGAACTCCATCACTTCTTTAATCTAAGGTTATATTTTTAACGTTCTTTTTTATATGTTCATATTGGGTTTTGTTCCAGGACATAGTTATATGGAAACAAATATTGATAGCAGAATACACAAATATCCAGACAAAAATGCTAGAAGTTCCTCTGGAAAAGCACTTACCATCAACTGAGTATGACAAAACGTCAAAAATGGTGTCTGCTTTCACTTGGTACCTAGAAGTGAACCTGTAGATGTCACTTGTAGCGTTGCCCCCAGAATAGGATGCTGACCAGTTGTAGTAGTTGCTCTTAAGGTTGGATGAGACATCCAGAAGGCCAATTAGGGGAACTCTAAGTTGGTAATACTCTGGGATATTGAAAGCTGGAACCCTAAACTCTTGAGATGGAACTCTTATCCCCACTGACTGCAGCTCCAGGGGTGGGGACCTCACTGCCCATGGTACCACTTGATGAGATATCTTTCCACCATAGGGCAATGGGATATTGATGGTAATACTGTCCTTGTTAAAACGATAACTGATTCTTCCATCACTGCAAAAAAAAGAAATAAAAGGCTAATCAAGGCTTTTGCAAGGAAAATCAAGATATGTTCTCACATGGAACCAAGATGTGGGATATATTATTTCCATGCAGTCAGTCTTGGGTTTAATCAATGCCTCCATGCTATTAGGCTGATGTATACTGAAGACTGAGACTTTATTTTCTGATACTGAAACTAACTTTCTAAAAAGTCTCAAACCTAGCTCATAAAACATGCTTGAACTATACCTAAATGCACCCCCCCCACCCAGATACAACACTAGTGCACAAAACAAAACACTGTCAGAGCTGCTAAGACATCAGGCACCAGTATAAAAGGGGTCCCCAGCATACTTTCAAACCAGCCCAAAAAACAGATCTCTTTAACTGTTCAAGTTAAAAACAGAGGTTACAACTGCATACAATTGCAAATACAAGTGGAGACCACACTGCCACATTAAGGCACCTCTAATAAGTGTGGTCCTTAACTCTAAGCTATCTGTGTTTTCAAATGGGAAATATCTAGCAGTGCATAAACAGAGAGCAGATTCCTCTACAGTCAGGCCCATCCTCCTCAAAGGTACGGTCACACCCCAAAAGCACATTTTCACACAATTGGCTGCTGTATATTCTTTTTTGAACATATCAGACAGCAGACATGATTTTGCATCAGTCAGCCCTTGCTCTCTGCATTATTGCTCATACCACCAAATGATGCAAGCATTTCCTGCTGAAATTTCAGCAGGTGTGCACCGGATGAAATTAATAAAAGAAAGATCTCTGGCAATTACATGTAGCACATTTTAAAAATAGCGCAAAACAGTGAATACGCCAAAGACATGCTGGTAGGTTAATTGGCTCCTGTCTAAATTGGCCCTGTATGTAAGATGGGGACCTTAGATTGTAAGCTCTTTGAGGGCAGGGACTAATGTGAATGTGCAACAATGTAAAGCGCTGGGTAAATTGTCAGTGCTCTATAAATACCTGTAATAAACAAATAAATAAAAATAAATATCTGCATGGACTAGGGGGACATTTGCATGAAGTCCCTCTTTATGTATTAGAATAGCTCCATTTACTTAGGTAAGCAGCTCCGGGGTCATTGGTTACCTATTCAAAAATAAATCATCTGGGAAGGCTGGAACACCCAGTTTCTGTAGATCCATTTCTTTCAATGCAGTCAATTTATTGGCAAGTGTTTGGGCATATGGGCTCTCATTTGATGCCTTCTCAAGCCAATTGTCTGTTGCCTAAAAAATAAATACAATAGAGAATATTTTACCTTTTCATTACACACATCAGTTATGGAGGCATAGTCAATGAGATCAATTGATTTCAAAGAGTGTTTCTAACCTAAATGGTAAACACCTGCTCATACCAACACCAAGGGGCTCCTCACATCCCAAACCCCTCCAGTATGTAACTCAGACTCATTTCCTTTATTGCTTAGAACATGGGGTTCTTAGATTTAATCTAATAACGTAAATAATTATTTTTTTACCATACACGAACTCAAGAAGAGAATTATTGTCAAAATATCAAAGCTAAACAGCCAGAAGCCACACACTGACATAAACTATTTCTGTTTAACACATTGCAGACACTCTTCACCATTTCTGTAAGTTTAGTAAAGCTGAAAGAAATACATTCTTCATTATATTTTCTTTTTTATTTCTCTTATTCCCCTTACAGTAGATCTAAGGCCGCTGTGTGTTTTTGTCAGAGAGCGTGGGAAAATGTGAACACCCCAGTCAGATTTTGTCATTTCTTAACTACGGAGGTAAAGTAGTGGAGCGCTAGACTGATTTGAATGGGTAACCTGAGGGGGTACAAAATCTTATTTCTCAAAAGCAGCACTCCGGGGTCTGAAGGACTCTAACAGGTTCTCTGGAGAAAACCAGCAAGGTTGGTAAAAAAGAGAGAGAGAGAGAGAGTGCCAAAACATAGCAAACAATCCAGAAAAAAATGTATTAATTGTAGTCATTGTTAAATCCCAACGCATTTTGGAAGTTTCAGAAGTCCACCTTCACCTGGGTTTAGCTGCATTAGGCAGCTGCTAGACCAGTGACCTGAGCAGGCTCCAAGAACACTAACCACATGTAATCTTAGGCTATCAATCTGTCGTTGAGATGCTTCCCAGTCTAATACACCTAACCTTTGATTAAGGGGGGCTTCTGAAACCCCCAAAACACATTGGCTCTTTTTACCAATTACTACAATTAATACATCATATTTGGACAGTTGACTACGTTTTGGCTCTTTCTTCTTCTTTTTTATTTATGTCTGTGTCTCATTTCACTATCAGAACACCACTTTCAGTATTGTGAAGTGGGAAAGTTTTTAAAACAATGATTCTGCTTGGTTGCTATACGTTGCTCCCTTGATAGTAAATTATCTCCAAAGTATTGATCTTTAAAGGTGCCAATCATATCTGGCTTGCAGTATCACAAAAGGAGTTCCCACTGTTGACTACTTACGACTTGGGTTATACCTGGAGCTACAGTTGTTGATTCTACCTTCAATGCCATCTGCTGGCAAACAACCATATACAACCATATAATAGCACCCTACAAGTAATATTGCTAAATTCCTGGACATTGCAAGTACTATGAACAAGGGAAATGAGGGAAATGAGCTCTATGATACTGCCTAGTTATAATTCAAGCAGCTAAACAGTTTGGGCTCCTCCTTCTGCAATAATAGCGCCCAGGTATCCTCCGTAAACTGTTATATTTTATATGTTTTTGACAGTTGACTAAAACTTACCACCATTCCCTGTGACAGAATATGGCGGAGGGTCATGTCAGTCTGAGCAACCTTATGGTCCAGTACATCATTGGCATATGTCTTGATAGCCTCCGGGTAAGAGAATTGAAATTCCGGAAGCTTGGAAAGGATCTTCTTAACATTGGTGTTACTGCCAGTGTTCCACTGCAGCTCAATCTTCTCGTTGTCTGAAAAAGAGAACAGGTAGAAGTTAAAGTGGATCTCAAGACAAAACCTTTTTAGTTTTGAAGAGTCAAGAAGGGTTAGAACCTTTCCCTCAAGTTTCTAATGTTGTGTCCAATTGGGAAGATTCAGCCCTCTGATTGTACTAGCGAAAATTCGGAGAAAGTCAAGCATTGTAGTGTTGTTCCTAGAACAGGTAGGAGTAAATTGTCCAATGGAGACACCTGTTCCAGGGACAAGTGTCTAAGAGGGGAACTTCCAGTTGCCTCTCTGGGACAGAAAATTAAGGGGAACTTCCCCAGTGGTATACAGATAGGAGAAAATAACACGGCAAAGGTTTTAACCCTTCCCTAATCTATCCAAAACTAAAAAAACCTTGGAAATTAATAGGCATTCACAAAGGGAAATATCATCATCAGTTACTTATTGTAACTCATCAGAAGTCACATTTTGATATTTATTGGTTTATACTTTCACCCCTTTAGAATAAACTTACCATATGTGAACACGAAGTCCTGAGATCCGGACAAGGCGCAGATATTGGCAGAGGACTGTATCTGAAGCTTGTGGTTTCCAGTATCGCTCAAAACATTGACATCTGTCCTTGCCTCCATGTGTAATTTGGGGATGCTAAGGATCCCACTCATCGTGCCTTGTGAACTGCGATCACAGCTGTCAGAGAAAGAGGACATTTGCTTTAAATGACACTCCTAAAGGTTTTTCCAGCTCTGTTAACAATTGCACACTCATGAATCTAGCTCTTGTAGCTGTTAGCAATAGGGAACACAATGTACAAATCACAAATGTTGTTGATGTCACCAAGAAGAGTAACAGGTCAGTCAACCTAAAATAATATATTGTAGTTTTTTATAGGACCTGGCTCGTTGAGACGTCTATCATTTTCCTATAGCTACAATGCATTCTGATGTCAATAATTGTGCTCCTGGGTTCTCATCTCCACCCACTTGCAGCAGCCATTTCTTGGGGGGAAGATCTTGCAAGTGGATGATTTATCCTTATAGTTAAGTATGCAGTATACGTTGTGGATGGACTGGCCCTTTGGGCTGTCACTGAAGGTTCACTGTCAACATGCCTTGGCTATTACAGAGAGGGAACTACAATACACCATTATAAAGAGGTCTGATACAGTAAGTGCAACAATGGAAGTGCTCTCAGACACGTAGAAAACTAACATGGCTTAACAACTAATACATACATATGTTTTTTTTATTCAGTGCTGTTTGTATTTTTCTTTATGCATATTCGATCGTGGGCTGTTGCTTATAATATTTTTTTTAAACTTTTTTACTAAGTGGTGTATTTACAAAATGTTTGCAGAGCCGTTTACTCTGTGAACCTCTGAGTTTTAGATTCACTCCCCATTATGGTCAGTAGATGGAGCCGAGGAGCACAGGAATTTCCTATACTCCTTGGCTTGATCTAGTGCCCATAATGTGATGGAAATCTAAAATTCAGACATTTGCAGAGCTAGTCACTTTTATATATAATCCTCTAAGTGTTTTTTAATTTTTTTTATTTCTGTTACAAAAATCCTACTATAATGAGGCTAATAAGGGAATATCATTCAGCTCAAAAACAGGTCCAGAATAGTAAAAAGGAGCATTCAAAACTTTAGGAAGCCATTTAAAGTCCACTGCACCCTTGGAAACCAATTCAGTTTTGCCATGCCGGCAACATTTGCAAACATTTCATGATTTTCTCCCAAATTTGGGGGCAATGAAAACTCTGAATTATAACTAACAGTCACAAAGATGTATGAATGCTTACTTCATCTTGCCAGTCAGAGTGACTTCTGGGATCTGTTGGTTGATTAATTCAGCAGTAAGTGTGCGCGAATACATGAACTCATCGGAGTCATCATTCATCTTAAATCTGGTACCGAGATTAATATTGGCGCTGGGGATCTCCAAATCACCAGTCAAGGTCATCTTGGCGTGGTTGTATTTAAAGGTCAGCAAGGCCTCTGATGACTTAACCCCTGTAAAACAATTTTATTATTTGTATAAATCTAACAGGATTTAGAAAAAAAGAATGAAACAGGTATAACAATGACAATTCTAATGAAGAAGATTTGAAATATTTACCTTCTGCTTGAGCGGATACTTGCAGAAAGTCTTCTCCTTCCATGTTATTGCCGTAGCGTGTTGCCAGGGAATATTCTTGCACCTCTCCTGTTGACTGAATCTCCAGTTCAAACCTTGCAAAAATAAGAAAACAACCATAAGGATCTGTAGAGCCAAAGGAAATCTCACCGCTCCAATTCCTTAGCTGGCATCAGGACTCCCCAGGTGCTGGTCTAATGGGTGCGTCTCCACCTTGGAATGTAGTAGCATATACGAACAGATCGCACTATCCAGAGAATTCCAATACTTCAGACTTTATTGAAATTCACAGCAAATCCAGTATAACAGCGAATAAAAGTGTATAAAGCAACAAATGCCAGCACTGCACACCCCCAACCAGCTACAACCTCTCCCATGTTTCACCCGTAGGCTTATTCATAGAGGTCATTAGGATCTGTTATTCAAGAAAACATTTGGGACATACATTTCACATAAATTTCCACCTTTGAATACAAATGTATACCTTGCAAAATTATCTTAATCTAAACTAAGTTCCTTAAATAGATTTGATGGTTTTCATTACAACTGTTCCCATAGCTCAGCCAACTAAGCGTTTTCATTCCCCTGTTTTTGATTGGCTGCCTTGGCTAACAGGCAATTAGGAGGATCAGTCACAAGAGGAATTCTGTCCTCTGCTCCCTTGAAGGAGTTGTTTACAAGTTTCCAGAATTGTAAAGACAGAGGTCACCAGCACTCAGTCGAACGCATTCAATTATTTTGCTTCTTTATTGAAGAAACATGTCACAAGCGTCAATTAGCCAACGTTTCGGGGCCACACAGGATCCTTTCTTTAAGGGGCCCTAAAACGTTGGCTAATTGGCGCTTGTGACACGTTTCTTCAATAAATAAGGAAAATAATTGAACGCTTTCGACTGATTGATGTTGATCTCCATCTTAACAATTTTTGAAAACACGGCACCACCTCTGTAATCACTATGAGCACCACGACCATTAATCAAGGTCCAATCGCTATAAGGAGTTTCCATAAAGGTCCAATCGTTGTAACGAGTTTCCATAAACAACTTAACCAAATTAAACTTGCACCTCGCAAAGCACTTTAAAGGAGAACTATGAGGTGAGTGCTACAGCTCGCGGTATACTGAGCCTAGGGTGACGGGAGGATGCTAGGTTGTGTCTTCCCGTTACCCTAAGGAGAACTATGGGGAAAATACTTAACCCCATAGTTCTCCTTTAAGTTGTATTTTTATGTGCAAGATAAAGAATATCAATAGCTATGAATCTTCTCATCTGAAGCAGAAAACCTCCATACATTTCTGTGTTGTAAAATTAGAAGTAAAGATGTAACAACATAACCAAAATTAGGCTGAAGTATACCAGCCAATAAATCCTTTGGATGAATTCACTGGCAATGTGTTATTTTATGTAGATCACTTGTGGCCTATGTATAAACATTGTGCAAGGCCCATCACCCTGTGAAATTCTTTTTGAGTGAATGATTGCAAAACCAAATGTTCTTAATATATTGTTTCTCAGTTTGCATGCAGTGTGGTGTAGTATTACTTTATGGCAACTAGGTGGAGCTGAGGAGCATAGGGAATAAATAATAGTTTCTTGTGCTTCTCAGCTCCATCTAGTGGCCATAATGTAATATTACAGCACACTTCATTTGAACTGGAGAAAAATATATTATGAACATTTGTTTTCGACATTATTTGCCCAAAACGAACATTCACAGATATTTGCAGGAAGACGTTCCCTGCACACTGCATATAAATAGACCCCAAGAAGTGCATGTGCATAATGTTCACAGCAGTATACAACATTCAATTGTTTAGTTATGTTGTCCACATATTAAGGCTTCTTGCCAGTACAGATGGTTTCACAATTAAAGGGTCTGTACAAAGTAGAAATATAATCCTGTTTTCTCCTTCACAGTTTCTATTTCAATAGGACACCCTGATCTTATGCTACCACGGAATGCATGCAGACAAGCAAATGTATATTTATAGATGTATAGGAACTCACTTCAATATCACAGGTTTTGGGAACTATAAACACACCTGGTTTCCCCAGTAAGTGGGAAGTAGGGGGCTCCATCTATTGAGCTGGCATTGGAATACCCAATGTTGGTACAGTATAACAGCCCTGTGATCAGAGGCTTGCAAGAGCTTTGCTCCTCGCGATTTTCGACGATGGAAGACATGACTTCAGTCTTTGATGCAAAGACCAAGTTGACCTTGTTGCTGATTAAAGACAAAAAAGACAATAATGTATTATTTAGTAGAATCTATCTATCTATCTATCATTCTAGTTATTTATAAATAGATTATACGGTCTTCTACAGAGAAAAAGTAACAGAGTGCTGCATTGGTCAGGAAGAACAGCATGAAGAATTCAGCATTTTGAACATTCAACTGTCTCCCTTTCCATCATTCTATCATAGATAGATTGATAGACAGACAGACATAGACAGACAGATATAGATGGATAGAGAGATAGAGAGATAGAGAGATAGATATAGATAGCGAGAGATAGAGAGATAGATAGATAGATAGATAGATAGATAGATAGATAGGAGATAGATAGAAAGATAGATAGATAGATAGATAGATAGATAGATAGATAGATAGATAGATAGATAGATAGATAGATAAATAGATAACTGTGGAGAGACTGATAATAGACATGTAACCCCAAAATAATTTGTTTACTTTCAAATCAATTTTTATTTCTTTAGTTTTTCAGATTTTAGATCCGAAGTTAGATTCAGTTCATTATTTGTATTGCGGATCCGTCAGAAATTTTTGTTTTGAAACAAAGTCACATGACCTGGAATGCAGTCCCCAACAGCCAAAAAAAATCAACCCAACCAATGGCCAGAGAACAGTTGCATGTCCTATTTTGTTTCTTTTTGAACCAAATCCAGGTAGAATCCAAATTTCCATCAAAGAAACATTCACATTTGTTTGTATTTGGGCTCATTCAAATTGGGAAATTTGGATTCATCCAAATGTCCAAATTTTATGAAATTCGTACGACTATCCATTAGGAAAGAAACAAAATTTACATGTCTAATATACAGTATATCATTATTGACTAGATAGATACATACATACGTACATGATAGATAGATAGATAGATAGATAGATAGATAGATAGATAGATAGATAGATAGATAGATAGATAGAGGTAGCATTTGCTTTCTTGTCTGTTACTCACTTGATACTGAAGAGTTTTACCGGAGTGGTGGGTGCTGGAATTGAGAATTTGAATTGTCTATTGATCAAAGAGACGCGAGCCTGAACTCCGGATTCGTGGTAAATGTTGGTGTTCATTTGGACTGCATGTTTGGAAAATTCTGGAATCTGGACTCCTAACTGGGTAACGAATTCCACAGCCACTGATGGTTTCAGAGACAGTTCAACTTTTGACTGCAAAAAGAAAAGTTGCTGATGACAAGAATGCAAACTGAGATTCTTTGCAATAAACAAGCCTTTGCCTTTTTACTGCTCTCATTGCAGAAGCAGTTTTCCCAAATTGTATTCTGCTGGTAAATGTTAACAGCCATTTTTTGGGGGCTGGGAATAACCTGGCTATAGTTTTCTACAGTTTGACTTCTGATGGAATTTTATGTGTGACTTTAGATAAATTATTATTACATATTATTATTAAATACTTTAAATAACTTTAATTATAATGTATACTTTTAAATAAATATAATCAAATACAGTGGTGTAAATGTTTATTCTAAAGAAAATATTTGGTGATCCTGCAAGTTCAATCAACTTCCTTGATGGGCACAGCAACACGCTGCCTATGCAGCACTTCCCGCTAGTGTTGTCGGCCCTGCAGCTCAGATTATGTAATGCAATCTGTGTCTACCTTTCCTGTATTCATCACTTTGGGTCACAGGTAGCAGGTGCAGGAACAGCAAATGCAAGTGGATGATTGGCAGCATATCCAGCTCCATTACAAGGCTTTGCCTACTGCCCCCCAGTACTCGGAGAATGACTGCCCATAAACCTCATGAAAATAGATATTTTCAACATATTTGGGGATAACATGTTCACTCTACTGGTTTAAGGAGGAACTGTATTGAGATCGGGGGCATCTAAATTTACTGCTGCTTTTTGTTTCACATGAGTAATTTTACCATTTTGTGTAATAAATAAAGGGGGTTTTAAAGCAACTCTGTCATCCAGGCATGTCTTCCCAGTCTACTGGGGTTCTCTCCGCTGACCCCTGCACTACAAGACTCAGCAGTGATATAAGGGCAGGAGTATGGAACCACAATGAGCTGCAGGGAACACAGGTAACTAAGACTCCCAAGGGTGTTGAACAGAGGAGAGGTGAGTATATTATCTATGCTTTTGCAGGGAACTGCTTCGGCAATTTTTGACTTTTTTTTTCACTACGAGCACTTACATTTTTTGACATAAACCCAGTCTTGGCTCCCGGAGTAATTATTCCAGACATGGACACTTGGAGCTGAAGCCCAGTTCCGGTTGGCAGGCTAAACTGATTGTCCATGAAGATGTAGTGGACGAACATATCACTCTCACCACCAGCTGAGAATAACTTCACAATCTAAAACAGCAACAAACAAAATGCAATCAGTCAAACGTTTTACAATTCATTAACTTTAAAACATAACCGATTTTTTTCATAATCCTCTCTTTCACTTTCCTTTAAGAGGACTTAAAAGGTCCACCCAAACTTGTCTCAGGCCTATATCCTACTGTAAATATTCTACAGCTGTAGTAGGAGCAGACCCGGGATGTTTTCCACGTATTGATGTTGCTGTGAGGGTAAACTTTCATCAAAATACCAGTCCAGACCTAATATACTACAGCAATACAGAGAATAGAAATCAAAATACCTTTGCTGGGAGATTGTGGATGGAGTGGACGTTCTTCAGCAGCATATCTCCCAGGATCTTGAAGTCACTCAGTTTAACGTAGCCCAGTTCTTTACCAAGAATTTCCAAGTAGGCGTTGGCCTCTGGTGCACTGTTCGCTCTGATTTCTTTGATCAACTTCTCAGCATTAAAGAGGATGGCCTTTTTAATATCCTATAATACAGTCAACCAAAATATGATCAATTGTAGAGCATGACCTTTTTAAATCCGGAGTTCCTTAAAGAACAACTATGATCAAACTATAAAAACACATATGTGATATAGGCTGCCCATATCAGAGAGACCGACCCTTTGTCCCCCCCTCCTCCCCCCCACCCCCCTCACTCTTTTTGTAAATACTCACCGATTCTGGCGGTTGAACTATTGGATAGGCCCTTCCTTAAGGTGACAACACTCTCCCTTCTGCAATGAAATCACTGCAGCATTGTCAGCCTTGCTGCTGCAGTGATTTCATTATTATTCAAACACTGATTATGGCGCCATCAATAGCCCTTTCAATGAATAGCCACACCTAGCACCACCTAGTTCTATTTGCAGGAGTTCAAGGAAATAATTTAGAAACCCTGTTTAGTTCCTGTGACCACATTAGCACTGTCCAGCAAGGTGTAGGACAAATCCAGCATGTCCTTTAAGGCCTGGTTCACACCTAGGCGTTTTACAGAGTGTTCCTACGCGCTGTAAAACGCTCAACATGTGAAAACCAATAATTGCCTATGGGCGTTTTATAGCGCATAGGAACGCGCTGAAAAACGCCCTACGCCCAAAGAAGTACAGGAGCTTCTTTGGGGCATATTTGCCGCGCATATCCATTAGGATACAGCCGGATAGCCCTCGTAAATGAGCGTTTGTCGCGCGTTTCTTTTACCGCAAATCGCGGTCGAAACGCGCGGCAAACGCACATATTCCGTAAGCCCAGGTGTGAACCCAGCCTAAGATATATGACATGGCAAATTGCATTGAAGACACCTGTTTATCACTCTGAGGGGAACAAAAAAAACTAGAGACTTTAGGTGGATTCATAGTTTACATAGATCTTATAATCTGGCAAAAATAACTCTTTTCCTGATGACTCTACTTCCAGGAAAGCATCAAATAAATTGAAACACAAGAAAAGAAAGGAGAAGCTGCAGCTATTTTTTTAGGTAACAAAAGAGGGACAACTAAAGGGCAGAGAGGAACAAAGGCATTTGGTTTAGAAATTGGAACAGTTCTTCCAAATGAAGGGCAGTTGGGAACTATGTATAAAGATGCACTCTCTGAAAGTAGGATCTTGCAAGAAAATGCCACAAACTTTCTAAAGATTGATCCCAGGGTGTCATATCTATTTTCAGTGTTTTTCCCATAGAGTTTACTCCAACCCTCTAGTATTATGGAAGTTATAATAACGTTTAATTCAACCTGCTGATCTATATTATATTTGCTGTGCAAGGTTTTAAAACATGCAACAAAGTCAACAGATGGAATAGATGAAGAACACAATCCGTGATTGTACCTCAGTTTGTCTATCTTCTCTGGAGATACCAAACCACTTGTAGAGAACCTCAATGACTTTGTCAGGGACTTTGCCATCTGCCCAGTACAGAGCTTTTGTAGCGGAGTCAGGGAAAAAGCCTCCTTTTCCAAAAAGAGCATCCAGTGTTGGTTCAAAACCTTTCCCTTCAATGCCAATCTATATTGGAAAAAAAATAGGGATTGAATAAAGGTTACGTTAATTATGTTTGAATTAAACACATCATAGTGTTCTGATGTTCACTAGGCTACAAAGATAATTGGTCCTTTATGCAGTATACAATAGTTGCATGCTATATGAATTGTAATGCACAGGTCTGCACCTCCCTCTTACCTATGGATTTTTAAATGTAGAAGAGGAAAAGGATGCTAAAAAAAATATTGACCTGCAAACATTCAGTTAAACAACAACCAATCATATTTCGCCTTCACTCAGAGTAGAGCAGCAGAACAATAAATTAGGATTTTTTATTGGTGACTGTTGGTCACTGCATGTCATAGATTTATCGCTGCAATCTAATTCTTTTGTGTAGCTTGTGTAGCTTGTTAAAATGGTAATAATAGGAAAAGGGATAAGACAGTTAATTTATTAATTTAAAAAAATCAAGCACCTCAAACATGTCCACAGACTGTCCAAATACATTCAGCGTCTCCTTCAGCATGACTTCACGAGGCATGTAGCCAGTGGAATCGTAGATTATGTTTCCTTCTACCTTGGAGCCTACATTGCTCTCTATTGCAGGAACATCCAGATTCTTGGAATATTGGTAGTTGCGTGACAACTTTGTGAAGTCACTGACAATAGCTGGTGCTCCGTTTGACCTGAGGGACTCTTCCAGTTTGGCTTTCAGCCTGCAACATTATATGCAACATTAACATTTATATACAGTAAAAAATAAAATGAGTGTACAGCAGACATAGCAGAAATATACTTGTTTAATGGAGTTTTTAAACTGCATTATACTAATATGCATTGTGGAAAAGGAATACACAAAATGATCATGCCCTATGACCTGATATGACAGAATTTCCCTTCTGTTAACATTCCTTTGTTGCTCGAAGTTCCCCTACATCAAGCCAATGGTGATGCTTGCATGGAAAAATGAATCCCGAGAGCTATATCAGCTGTAGTATAGCTGTTGCAAGGCCACCCATGATGGCAAGGTCTCTGGTACCCAGAGAAAAGGGATACCCTGATCCTTCTGATTCGAAATGGGCATGGGGTCAACAAAATAAATTGAGCAAAATCTATAAAGAAGGCAAACAGCCTTCATGGGCTGTAGTGCCACGGATAAAGAATGTAAGTAAGTCTCATACTCCTACTTCAATTTTTTGTTTCTTAAGTACATTAAAAGGATAAAAGTGCCACAAAAACGTGAATAAGACCAGTAAAATTTTATTTATGACAAGAGAGCCAATTTGCTGGCAGCAAATTTACAAATGGATGGAGTGGAAGTTCTTCAGCCACATATCTCCCAGAGTCTTGAAGTCACCCACACCTATCCTGTTAAGTGTTTATTGCTGACTGCTTCTCCATTGGGGAGATTTTTGCCTCACTTCTCTGTTGATGAGTGTTAGGACTTGACAATGTCACCAAGACAGGAAGTCAAAGGAAATCTTCTCTATGATAACACAGTGAGCACTAAAAACCTGGCAGAGGTCCTAATATTATGTTCATGCCTTATTAACACTGGGCAGCACAGTGGGGTAATGGTTAGTGCTTCTGCCTTGCAGCACTGGAAGTCCCTGGTTTGAATCCTGGCCAGGTTGCTATCTTGCGTGCATGGTTCTCTGCTGGAAGGTTTATTGGCTCCTGTCTAAATTGGTCCTCATATGTATGCATGTGAGATAGGGACCTTAGATTGCAAGCTCCTTGAGAGCAGGAACTGATGTGAATGTGCACAATGTAAAGCACTGTGTAAATTGTTGGTGCTCGATAAATACCTGTAATAAATTCACAAGACAGTACTTTGCACATTATACTGTAACTGAACTCTACTATTATCATTTAGTTTGCACAGGGGTCCAGATTTAAAGAATTCTCAGCAACATCTGATTCCCTATACTTCTGTTGTGAACTTGAACAAGGTATAATACATCTTCAGTTTAGAATTTCCACATCAACTCAACAGAATATTTGGCCAAAGGGTTCCCATTATGTATTTCACTTACTCTTGAGTCTCTGGAGCCTCAGAGTTTAGAATGTTAGCAATGTGTGAGGCAACAAAGTTCTTCACTTGACTGTTATCCTTAGTGAGCACTCGAATGACTTTACGGAGGTCAGACTGTGAGGGGTCCTTCATCACAGTGAGGTAGGCTGCCAGTCTCTTTTGGACTGGAGAGTTATTGTCCTGCAAAACCTGCACAAGTGAGCTTTGAACCTGGATGACGAGAAGACAACATTAAGGATTAAACAGTGGAGGAAGCAATAACTCTGGACAAATGTGTAGATCAGAGATGAGCTTCCCTAACTGTCATTAAGTGAACTTACTTCATCTGTAACTGTCATTTTCCGAAGAGCCTGGATAGCTGCCTTCTGGACGTCAGCAGATGGAGCCAGACTAACGCATTTCAGAACAGATGACCTGATTTGTGGGTTGGCTTCTTCTAACACACGTCCCATAATGCCAACAGCCTGAGGAAGAAGAGCAAAGGGACATGCAGACATGAGACAAAGCTAAGGAAGACAGAAAGAAGGAGTCCAATTTTTAGTCTTTTTTTCGTAGAGTACCTTGAGGGTCAGGAAGGTCTTATCTTGGTCTCCATTGCACTCGTCCCCAATCAGAGATGACATGAAGTCAGCCACATCCCTTAGCTCAGAAGTGATGGTGTAGCTGTCTTTGTAGAAGCTAAAAACATAAAAGTACAAAAGATTAGACAGATGCAGTTTGTAAATCACTATAAAGCTCTATATGCATTCTTCTTTTGAGCTGGATTTACGTCCCATCAGAGGGCTCTATACATATTCTACTTAAAAGCTTTACATTTCATTCCGCTCTACTTATTATATATGTATATATACTTTATACATAGCACAGTTTATTATATATAGTACATTTCAACTCAGATTGTTAAATATGTTCCACTTGTTAGCACTATGTAGACTCCCAGTAGGGAGCTCCAAACACCTCCTCCAGGGAACTCTTTATAAACTATACTGAGTAGTCTATATACTCTTCACTTACAGAGTTTATATAAACTCCAGCGAGAAACTATATGCCATATATAATTTTACAATATAGACTTTACTATGAGCTCTATATAAGTTCCACGAGGAGGATTCTATATACAGTATGTGTTACAATGAAACGGTAAGCCACTTTGTGAAATCTACATACACACACTACTTGAGAACTCTGTGGGGATTATACACTTTTATCGTTCTGCGTGTAATGTACTCACTTGTTTACTGTGTGACTCAGGGCATAGAATGAGGCTCTGCTTTGCTGGTACTGTGCCATGTTCAGAAGTTCACGCACACGCTTGGTGCACGGTGATGGTAAAAGGCCAAGCGCATAGGTAACGGTATCAGTCAGTACTGGAGACATGTTCCCTGTCCGCAGCACCTGCAGTATAGCGCCGAAGCATTCTGGAGTACCACACTGGGTCAGAGCTTGCAGTGTAATGGGGCTGGAATCAGAAAAAAATTACAAATACATACATGCCCCAGCATATACTAATGTATATGTATATATATATATACTGTATATATATATATACTGTATATATATATATACTGTATATATATATATACTGTATATATATATATACATATATCTATAGATATATATACACACACACACACACACACACACACACACACACATATACGTTTTAACTTTTGTAGATTTTTTTCAAGACTAATTATCAATAGAAATGCTACAACACTGACATCTTGTGGTGATAATTGGAACTGATAGTCGAGCTTCTTCAATGATTTTAAAGACATACTGCTAAACTTCGACCCTCCTGCTGTTTTGAAACTTCAAGTGCCGTAGGACATTGCAAGACTCTGACAGCCACGGGCATGACTTCCGTCACCAGAGCTGGAGGGACAGAGCTTGGCTAACCATGGTTTACATAATTATTGGGCTGATTCATTTTATAAGATTGATGGATGGAAAATACAGCATCAGACAACCACCGCTTCAGCAGCCAGCACACTAAATAGCCTTTGACTTTAAATACTAGTTAGAACAAATCCTTGGCTTGATGTTGTCCTCGGGTACAAGCAAAGTTGAATTCACTTTTTATGTTAAAAGTATTCCATTGCAATTGTAGTTGCATGCGTACCATCGATTGATGGTACTTACAGTTTAAATGCTGCTTGTGAATTTTTAAATTTTTTTAACAGCTATTTATTTTAGCATTTATAGGGCTATTAACAACTACGGCCATGGCACATTCATTGAATGGAAACTTTCAGTTTAAACTGGAAAAACTTTAGCCTGGGAACTCTTTGTGCAGCATTCACTTTGTAACCAATGGTTAGGCTCTATCCTACTATTGTTTTGCAGTGCTTGATAACATTTCAGATCCTCATAGACAATCATTTAACATTAGTGTGGTCATGATGTGATAACAGATTTCACCAGCAGGTGGCAATCGAGGGCTTGAGGAAATGTTGGACTCTACCATGTTACCACATAGGGCAGGGGGTACCTAAGCTTTCTAAACAAAGGGCTATTCATTGTCCTTAAGACTATATGGGGGCTAGTGGAAGTAGAACATTCCTGAGCATCAGCAGGAATAAACATTGGCTCAGGCTTAGTGGTTAGTGGGAGTAAAAATCTAGCACCAGTGGTCAGTGCAGGATGGAATAATGCCCCAATGTTGGTGTTAGTGGAAGGAATAATGCCCCATTGTTGGTGTTAGTGGAAGGAATAATGCCCCATTGTTGGTGTTAGTGGAAGGAATAATGCCCCATTGTTGATATCAATGGGAAGAATAGTGCCCCATCAGTGGTGTCATTGGAAGATATAAGGTTCAATAGGTATCCCACCGCAAAGATGTTCACTTGATCAGTTTTCTTCGATGTGCTGGTGACATTTCATTTTTTTAATTGGAAGAAATAACACCTCATTGTTGGGATCAGCAAGAGGAACAGTGCCCCTTGATAGTGTCAGTGGCATAAATAGAACCCTATCAATGGTGTCAGTGGGAGAAATGATGCCCTATTGTTGGCATTATTTGGAGGAATAATGCCTCATTAACTGTGTCAGAGGTGGGAACTGTGTCCAGTTGTTGGTGTCAGTGGATGGAACAGTGGCCCAAGGGCAATATAAAAGCAAGCAAAGAGCCACAACTGGCCCGCAGCCTACAGTTTGGAGACCACTGGCATATAACAATCATATGTTAATAGAGGATTTCTGTTTGAAGCGCTAATTCACTATGAAGAAGGGACTCTCAAAATAGGAATATCAAAACCGTTTACTAATATATGGAACCTACCTTGACAGCTGCATGAGTCTTGGCACGAGCGGGCCCAGAGTATCATTGTTGAGGGATCTTAGTGCAGTTACCAGTTTGTGGAAGCGGTTTGCTCTTTGCTGGTTTTGCTGGCTAGTTGACAATTTCTGCAGCTCCATGAGGTTATCCAAAACTGCATCTTCATTAGTGGACTGGAACTGAGAAGCCTCCAGGGCTAAGCCTTTGACCACTGCTGAGTCTGGGAGCACAAGATGTACAGTAGGTGTTACTTTTATTACAAACTAAGTATAATCAGTTGTTTCTGTATTCAACATTTGCTTTACAGCGTTTAGGTCATAAGGACACAAAACCTTATCTACAGAGATACAAATCTAAAACAAGATCTACCACGAAGGAAGTTTAGACACCTTCTGTGACTTGATACCCCAAGGATGAGGATATCAAAAGGATAGATGGATAGGAGGATCCAACAATCATACTGTCCACTCTACATGCTAATGTAGGTTGCCTAACAAATGTCTCAGGTTGGCATATAATAAGGACACATCTTCACCTGAAAACTCTCTGCTGTTGGTTTTTGATACATCCTCCAGTTTTAACGTCTGTGTCACTTTAGCCATCATACCATACTGGTTTCTGAAGTACAGAAAGAAAAGCATTAAACACATACACTCATAAGTGAAAACAAACAATGAACTACTAATGCTAACCAGCAACCACTGCAGATGTTCTGAACATCCACTTGCTTTGCCTAAATCTGCATGCTCTGCACCCAAATTCAAACAGAATCCATCACTTTGATGTACTGATATTTTTTTACACCAAGATTTTAGTATGTAATAGATAGAATCAGTAGGTGTATGTGGGAACTCTTATCCTCCGTCACAAGCAAGGGTTCTTAGATTACCATGCTACCGAATAAGGGGCTGGTGTGCTACAGCAATGCCTAGATGAAAAATTGAAGCATTGAGCAGTTTACTTTTAACCCTTGCCCCATTTCCACTTTATCTGAATTTAACCATCCAACCTTTTCCTACTCCACCCAACTGCATCCATCCTTGGACAAGTCATTTCCCTTTTCTTTAAACCCTCTCTGCTTAAAACATAATAAAAAAAAAAAATAATTCCGTGTTTCCCCAAAAATAAGACCTAGTACTATTTTTGGGAATTGCTAAAATATATAAAACCTACCCAGAAATTAAGACCGAGTTGTGACCCTTCCCAGGGCCGGTGGCATAAGGTAGAACTTGAAGAGCCGGTTGAGAGGCCGGAGAGAATCCGCGGTGCCAACAAAGCCACCACTAGAGGAAGCGGGGCGGCAGCGGAGGGAGCAGAGCTGCATAAGCGGATGCTTCCTCTATAGCGCCGGTTCCTGTCACAGGCAGAGTGATACCAAATGCACTCCACCGTTGAGGAATCGATAGTGAAAGCGAGTTTTGCTCACTCTGGCCAGCGCTTGGTTACCATATTGCTCTTGGAAAGGTACAGCACTCCTGATTGCCCTGATCACTATATTTTTGTACATGAAAACATGTAGACTGTCGTACATGAATAAGTGTGGATTGTTGCACATTAAAAAAAATAAGACCTACCCCGAAAATAACCTTGAGCCGAAAAAATATAAGACAGTGTCTTATTTTTGGGGAAACACAGTAATAATAATAATAATAACAATACTAATGCACCAGACATAAAGTATTCAATATAACACTAACTTGTGAGAAAATGGAAGGAACATATGAGTCTCCACACAGGATACTTCTGAAATGTGCTTTCGTCTAGGTTCCAAGCTGTACTGGCATGACTGGCTGCTGCTGAGCAGGGTGGACAATGGAGCATTCTGGGGGGAAAAAAAATTGTTAGACCAATTATATAGGATCCGATATAAAATGCAAGATCTGATTTAAAGTGTCCATGTCAAACCGTAGAAACCAAAATGGTAAAAAAATGTATGAAACCGGCCCTGCTAAGAACACCTGATATTGCCACACAGCCACTAACAGGATTCACACCAGCATTATAATACCAGGTGGAGAGAGAAAGGTGAAATTGAATTGTTGGCTGCAGGGCAATAAAGACAGCTGTTTGTCCAACACTACAAGGGGAAGCAGTCGCCAAAGGGCATTGGTACTAATATGAAGTCTCCATTTCCTCTGATTCCCTCCTTTCAAAACTGATAGGTAACAAAGTTGCTGCCAGCATTTCATAAAAGAAAACTAAAGGCAGAGTGCCTTTTATCAGCCCTGAGCCTGGGCAAGACATTTCAACTCTGACAGGGAAAGAATACAGCAAAATAACAGCACACACAGACACCCCAGAGAGGTAAGGCTGCATTATCACAACAGCTTAAGCAGGAGATTTGGATACTTATCCCTATTCCTGGCTGGATCTATTTAATCTCAGAGGCTATTGATAATCAAATGCTTTTTGTCCTGATTGGAAGATAAAAGTGTTACAACTTACTAGTCCTTTGAAGAGAGCGATGGGGCTGACATAGTCTCTGAGTGGTGTGAACTGATCACATGTCTTCAGATTCCTGGTCACTTTAATATCTGTGTCTCCTTTCTTTCCAGACACACTGACCTCACTGGTGCATTTACCATACACGGTATCCTGCAAAGAGAAAAATGTATTTAAAAAAATATTGAGCTCCATGCAGATTATACAATTCTTCCTTTTGTATATAAAATTCAGCTACAGTGAGCTGTGATGGACAGACTTACAAAGATGATACCAGCTATACTGAGAACCATTGATCTAGTCAGTCTGTCATTATTTACAATCTACTAACAATATGGCGCCCATGCCGGGGCACAAAGTAAATGCCAAATGGCCATTATTGCTTTAAGACCTTAGTGGGTGTTATCTAATGGCTTGTTATGGTCACTATGTCACCGGCCCAAACAATCTATATACTGAAGGCACAAGCAGTCTTACCATGCCACTGGTCTCCTTTGTCTCATCAGGAACCAGGAGCGATGAGATGATTCCTCTCTTCATATTTAATACATTGACCGGCTCATCATTGTGTGGATATAAATTGACCTGCTTTCCATCCACAACGCTGAAGGTCACTTCATACCTGTAGGCAGTAACATTAAATTACTAAAATGCAGCTGATGTCTCAACAGTTGTCAATGGAGAGTGTAATTGCACCTATTCACAAAGAGCTCCCTCTAGTGGTTGTTCTACAGAACTCTATATTTAATACAATTTTCACAATAAGAAAATATGTAAAAATGTGAAAGCCATATCACAAAATACTTCAAGGTAAATACTACAATAACATAGACCTTTATTTTATTTTGATTAGTGTGTGGAGGGCTTAGGCTCTTGGGTTTTTTTGCTGCCTGAGTACCTGTTTGGGAGATTCACCACTCTGTTTATCCTGATGACCATTGCCACCAATACAGACAGTGAAGGTAAATCCAAAAATTTTGAGTTGTCCCCAGAACAAATGGTAAGGGGAAATCATCCAATGGAGGCACCTGTTTCCGAGGACAGGAGATGCCCCTCACTTTGGGAGATTTCCGTTAAGTTACTGTTGTGTCAATGGGACAGGAAATGAAAGGAAAGTTCCTCAATGGTACACAAACATCAAAAGATAACCTGCCAGGGGTGTTAACCATTCCCTACTCCCAAAAAATGTTTTGGCTGTACATACACTTACAATTTGCATATGTTAAAAATATACTACACCTGATAGGACACACTATAAAGGAGATTTCCGGAACAATTATATCTTAATCCTTGCATTGGGGCTACCCCCACCTTGCAAGGGTTAAGTGCTTGTTTTGTCTAGGGAGCTGAAATAACAAGGATATATTCACCTGAACCACAATCCTGGCTGGCTCCTAGACCGGCGGTCCCTTCAGCCTCGCTCCTCCTCTGCTCTAGCTGTCTAGGTCTAGTAAGTCATCACGTCCTATACAGTCTATGGGACGTGAGGGCGCTAAGGGGAAGACCCTCAGTGAAGCGGAGGAGAAGCAGTGAGGGGTAGTCCCACTGCAGGGCTAAGATTTTATTTGCCCAGAGTTCTTCTTTAAAGATATTGTGATTGCCTGCTTCAGTTCCCTTTATTTATTTCTCAGAAACAACACTCATGCTCCTTTTGCAGGCAACCATGAGTCCCTTGCGCCCCCATTATTTACATTGTCTTTGAGTATAAAGTTCAGCTATTCGGATAACTGCACCGCTATAGCCAAAAGGTTGAGTTGCAATACCAGTTGTCACCAGTAGAGCACCAACACTCCCTGTCCTGGACTAAGAAAGGAGCAGGCTGGGCTTAGAGACCTTGATGCCCTAAGACCCTGATTTCCAACCTGTGGCCCAAGGGCTGCATGTGGCCTTTTAGCGCCTACTGTGTGGTCCTTGGGGCCCCTGAAGACAGTGATCTGCTTTGGTGCTCTCTCAAGCCAGTGAAGGAAAAACATTTTCCAGAGTGGCTTCCAGTAGTTGCTGGTTTGGTTTATTTGTTCACATAATCTTTCCATTTCTTCTTCTATGTTTTGTTTTTTTCCCTCTGATTTTTTTTATAATGGATCTTGCTGAGAGATATATCAAATGCTGCACAAGTAATTATTAAGGGGGTAGTGTAGGGAGCAGAAATGTAGAAGCATTGGCTCTTAAAGGGACTTTAATAGCAGTGATCTCTGGCAGTCTCTGTAATGTATCTCCCATCTATGGCCAGAAACATTTTTCTTGTGTCTCCAACAACTCCTAGAGCATTTTTGCCATTTCGGGCCATCTCCTCCTGAATGTGTCTTCAGTCTCTTACAGGTTTCTGTAACTATATATTGAATGAATATTACCTGTGTCCCTTTGGTGAAGCCAGGGGCTGCTTTTGAGGCCCCCTGTGTCAAGTTAGTTGGCTGCCACTGCCCTAACCAAAACAATGTCCTTTCATACAGGCACTCATCCTCTCCTCTCCTAACCATGTTCTAGAATAAGCCTAGTGACCATCAATGATGATGTCACAACTTTTTGAAGATTTGATCATCTAAAACTGTTCCATTATTTAAAATGTCTGACAAGTTCACTTGAAATATCCATCCCACTTACTTGGACATAGCATTGGAGAAGTCCTCGGAGTTCTTGGACTTCTTGAAGAGTGCTTTGCCCTCTGAGCTTACGCCGTACACCTCTCGCAGGGTGCACTGCTTTATCCTCAGGATGAAGTTGCATGGCTGAGGGACTTCCAGTTCCACCTAAGACAAGGAACAAACAGGTTCACACTCCAATCTGTGCTCTGAATGTGAATTTATATGCATGGTCTAGTCCTGCCATGCCAACTTACTTTGCAGTTGAATCTTGATCCACTTTGTGAGTCAGCTGTACCGGTCACTCCACTGGAGGTTCCAGCCTCATAATTATATGTGTATTTCCTAAGGTGCTTAAATTTTGTTGCATCTCCTAAAATTAGAAAGTCAATGTTAGGTAGATAGGCAACATTAATTAAACCAAATCACACTAAACTCAAGAGTTAAATCTTAAAAATGCATTCAGGTACCTTAACTATTGTGATTGCCTGCTTCAGTTCACTTTATTTATTTTTTAGAAACAACACTCATGCTCCTTTTGCAGGCAACCATGAGTCCCTTGCGTCCCCATCAGGGTTATTCACTAAAGGGTGAAGAGTCTGCAGAAGACAGGAGAAGTGAACAATCTAGGACAAAATAGCGGAATTGGAAAACATCTCCAATTCAGCTCACTTTCCAGTCCAGCTATGTTGTCCTAGATTGTTCACTTCTCCTGCCTTCTCCAAACTCTTCACCCTTTTGTGAAGAACCCTGTTTATATAGCTGTGGACTAACCATACAATGCCTTTGTACTGTCACCCACTAGACAAAAGTAATTCACCTTGAGTAGATAGCCTAGGTAGGTTCAAATATTGCATAGTCTTAGTAAATCTAATGGAGATTGTACAGTCAGACTGTAATGTGTTTGCTGAGATCCACATTGTCTAATTAGTGAGTTTGCGCTTGTCCAAGAGGTCTTTGATAAAGCTTTAACGCGAGGAAGAAGAAGCTTTATTTTAAGTCATGTGACTCATCTTTTTAATACCATCAGCTAAAAATAGCTGTCACTTATTGTAAAATAAGACTCCCTATGCTGGTGTGTTAGCTTTGTGAATTAAGCCTATATGAGTCCGGTTATTGAACGATGTCATCGTTGTCTCGTTGCTGCGCGGATACTAGATGGCAGTGTTGCCTCACTTTAGATAGATGTAACTTTGGTAATCTCAGATTGAGCCGCAGTTCATTTCTTACTATGTGCTGTACAGAACAACATGTATCCAGTGTTCCAGGGAGCAGGGGTGGCCTCCAGCCTTCATTACAAAGGTTAAGCACACAGTACACATTTCATGATCCCCGTAAAGATTAGCGGCAATAAATAATTATCCACACTGATAGGACCGTTATGAAGTCAGCGTTCACATCTGCTGTTTACCCCGCTGAATCTTTGCTAGGTGACATAGTCCATGTTAAAATACATTCAGCAATATTAGCTCCGTATGTCGCAACCCTGGAAATCACCCGATTCCTTGTAATCCTTTCAGTACACAAGAACCAAGGCCGGTTTTACCCCATAGCACAATTGGTCATTTCCACTTTTGATAACAACACAAAAAATGGTAGCATATTATTACTTACTAGAACAACTCGGGCTCTGGCTGTCTGGCCCATCATCTTCTGCAAATATAACAATGAATACAGATTATGTAAATGTATATCATACACATAAGATATAGTTCAGTTTGTCTCTCGCACGCCATCCATAAAAACACATGTAGAATATGACAATATGTACAAAAAGCAAACCCTGATATAGTGATGCCAATTTTATCAAAGCCAGAACAGCATATATAACAAGTGTTTGTATATAT